GTTGGTGCGCGCCCGGGATCCGAGCCCGGGCTGCCAGTAGCAGAGCATGTGCACTTAACTGCTAAGCCACGGGGCCGCCCCCGGTATATATTTTATAAACTTTGTAATTATAGGTGATTATTAATGAGAACATTGTACTGTTTTGAACTTTTCTCCTCAAGGACATTCACCTTGATGTTAACCACAATATCATCATTACTGTTTGGAAATTTGGCAGAATATTATTATTTAATATGCAATTCATGTCTAAATTTCCATGGTTACCCCAATAATGTCCTATACATCTGTTTTCAATAAAGAATCCAATCAAGGATCATGCACTGCATTTAGTTGTCATGTCTCTCTAGTCTCCTTTTTTATATTTAACAGTATTCCATCCCCCCGACCCCCTTTATTCTTCTTCATAGCGTTGACATTTTTCTTCTTTACGGCATTGAAGAATCCACGCTAGTGATTTTATAGAATGTCCCCTAATTTGGATTTGACTGACTGCCTCTGCATTATTAGGCTCAAGTCATACCTTTTTTGGGGCAGGAATATCTTAGTGTGTCACATCGGGAAGCAAATGATGTCATTGTGTCTCATTGTTGGTCATGTTAAGTTTGATCATGCGATTAAGGCAGAATCTGTCTAATTTCTCCATTGTAAAGATACTTTTCCAAATTGTGATTAAGAAGTAATCAGTAGTACTTTGAGAATGTGTAACGATCTTGCACCCCAACAGTATTTCACCCAATGCTTTAATATCATTGCTGGCATTTGCCCAAATCATATATTACTATTTTTATGGCTTCTTTTACATTTATTAGTTGGCAATCTTGTGTAAAGTACAGCTTTCTCTACTCCCTGCCTTAAGGGGAAATAATGTTTTTTAATTTACATTGGAATTGCCCCAGACCTTTAGAATATCACCCTCCCCCAGCCCCCGTAGGTGTTGGGGGTGAGACCCAGGCATCACTATTTGGAAAAATCCTTGGTGACTCCAATGTGTAGTCAAGGTTAACAACAGTTGCTCTGTTTCTTAACTGGTTAAGAACCTGTGCCCCACCTTGGACTTAAATGAATCAAAATTCATTGGGAGGAGATGGAAGCTCAGAAACTTGTAGTTTTGTAAGTAAAGGTCGTCAGGAGTTTTTTGTTACCCATTCATTGTCAAGAACTGCCATTCTGCAAGAATGTTTACTAGTGTGTGGAGAGTGGACTTAAATGTTGGAAAGAATATCTATCAAGACTAATGCATGGGAGACATATTTGGGATAAGCATGAACACACACCACTCATGTATGTCCCTCTTTCTAACTTGTTCAAGGCTTTATTTTAAAGTGTGGTGAGGGCCGGCCCCGTGGCTTAGCGGTTAAGTGCGCGCGCTCTGCTGCTGGTGGCCCGGGTTCGGATCCCAGGCGCGCACCGACGCACCGCTTCTCCGGCCATGCTGAGGCGGCGTCCCACATACAGCAACTAGGAGGATGTGCAACCATGACATACAACTATCTACTGGGGCTTTGGGGGGAAAAATAAATAAATAAATAAAATTAAAAAAAAAATAAAT